AGCTACTTTTCTGGTGAAATAATTGTACGAATGTGACTGGTACAGTGTGTGTGTGTGCACTGACGTTTTCAAACAAAACAAAAAGTCAAACTCCGACTTAATCATAATGTTTTAAATTTATTGTTTGGACGTATTTCCCAAGATTTCATTGTTCCATATTAGGCTGTATGTTAGGTAATGACTTAATAATGTTAACAATAAGTAACGTTATAACAAATAGTTTATACCATGGTGATTACATGACCCGAACTGCTTGGGTAATAAATACATTTTATGATATCAGAAACAGATGTTAAAAGCTCACTTAAAACGTCGTTTGACATTCGACCTCATTATAATAAATTTTAATATAATTCGCAATATAAAAACCCATGTTGTTAATATAATTTTTATATTATACATTCATTATAGTCACATTCTTTCAATTGATCAAATTGTTTGTTTATACGCAGATATTTTGTATATGTTTCATATTTCTTATCTCTGAATCAATTGTCCATAACTTTAAGGAAATATGAAGATATCATCTGGGTTGATGGACGGTATAGTCTGGTACAATTGTATCGACGTTTCAGGGATAGTTGCTCCCTCCATCATCAGGCCCTTATCGCCCTGATGTTGGAGGCCGCAAGCACCTCTAAAACGTCTGTAATCTTCTCAGACAACAACGCACTACAACCCAGAAGACAGACATCTTCAAATACAGCATTATTTAACGCAGATTTGAAACAGTAATTACTTACTTGTTAAAGGAATCTAGAGGATTACGTAACTACGTACCTGGTTTCATTAATGAAAAGCAGAGGTGCATTGTAATCTGTTATAGTCAGTTTATAATCGATAATAGCATGGCCCACTTATGCGATAGTTCCTTATGCCTCGTCACATCGATTTCTGCGTCTGTTGCAAAGTATTGATATCAGTTCAATACTTTATCATCAGCGTGACACCAAAACTTGGATTAGTGCTAGACACGAGAATTCAGAGGCTGTGTACAGAGTGGAATCCCAAACCATGGTAAGAGTGGTGTTTGGATGGCTATTCGGCGAGGGGTGAGAAATGCTAACACATTTCGGTTCAGAAATATGAAGGAAGAATATTATTTGGAATGTCTAGTCGTAGATGTGAGGCTTCTGGACGAGGAAGATTTGAAAATAAGGAGTAAACTTTTGTGGCTTAGAAGAGAAACCAGTGGCTTTCTCTTTTGGATTAACATTATTTTGGGGATTTTTACTGAAATAAATTATTATCTGAACCATAATTTTAAATAATTTGAATTTTATAACAACGATATAGTAATTATAAGGAACAAATTAATAAACTTGAGACTTCAGTTTCTCACGACGACGATTATGAAGATGGCTTCTTTTGTGGGATGTTACGTCATGAAGTCAGGTAGACCGACGATCAGAGTTACTTGCCGCCTCCATCATCAGGGTTATCACCTGATGTATTATATGTGTGTGAAACTTTTCCGGAATTTTAAGGGGTAGATAGAAGGATATTATTAAAGTAGATCTTAAGGAAGTACGGTGGGAAGGTGTGAACTGGAATCATCTGGCTCAGAACTGGGACCAGCGGCGGGCTTTTATAATCGCGGTGACGAACCATCAGATTCTATAAATGGTTAGGAATTTATTGACCATCTGACCAACTATCAGGTTCTCAAGAAGGAGCATGTTTCGTGAAGTGAGTTATTTTAGTTGCTAGACGTGTATGATAGAAACGTAGTCTGTGGAGTCACGTGATTGTAATGAACATCTCGTGGCATTAGACACTGATTCTGGATAGCAATATGGTCTTGTCCTTCAAGGTGTGACGTGTTCTGTTTTTGGTTTGTATGGGGCAATGCTAAGTAGGCTAGCGTATAATCGTGCGTGGTCGATAATCTATTAGTAACTAGGAATGGTGGGTGAGCTAGCAATTTACAGATTATTTTGGGCTGTGCTGTGTGTCCCAAAAAGTTGTATGCACAAATTTCATGAATGAAATAAAGACTTTTAATAAACTAAACTATTACGTATGTCAGAATTTGCACGTAGTGTTTAAAATGATCAGATTTAACTTCTAGGCACAGTCGACAGCGATGAGCACCTGCCCAAATTTGTTGCTGTTTATAAATATTTTTGTGGCATTTTGTATATTGTGTGGAGTTTCGAGTCCAACATATGCATTGGGTTTTAGCGTAAAAAACAACTGGAAAATATTCAAATAAATCAGCAATGTTTTGATCGCCTTGTGGAACATACTTTGTGTGGCATTTGTTATTATAACAACGTATTGTTTTATCAGCACAGTTTTTTTATCCAAAATCTGCTTTCATTCTTCTCCTTATCTTGTCGAATTAATCGACTTTATGTCTGTATCGACTTTCCATCCTTTACTTAGTTATCTTCATGCGTTCCTCCTTGCAGACATATGACAGCTTATAGGTTGTTGTTACCTGATAACCTTTGAATTCAGTTCCTTTGTAATTTATTTTGCCATTCGTTTGGAAAGTAGTTTACGTCAAACTTGGACGTCGCTTTGACATTCCCCTCATTCGCTTTAATATGTTTATAAAACTGGATCATTTTGGGGCTCTCATGCCTCTAATGGAGTTATTGGAGATATTTTTTTTAAGAATCGAAATGTTTGTTCGCCTTGTGAGATTTGGGATTTTCACAGGGTCCAGAATGAAGATGACTGTCTTGTGGGTTGTTTCGTTGTATAGTCTGGTAGAACTCAATAAAATCTTCTCGGGAAATCAGCCGCGTCAAATGGTCACACGAAGAAACAGACGTTTCGGGAACTAATTTCTGATTCTATTCCCGAAAATTTTGGTTTCTTCGCGTAACCATTTGACGAGGCTGTTGCCGGAGAAATTTAGTCGCTGCGAAAGCTTCAAAACATGTAGTCTGGTAGAAGTTCACCGACGTTTCAAATATGTTTGTTGTATCCATCATCAGGGCGATGACTAATCAGTGGCTCAGTAATACAGAAAACAGCCATTTCTGATTAGTCCTGGTGGACTTTCACCCTGAACTCATCAAGAATTTCTCAAGAGTATTTAATTCGCCTCTTTCGAAATCCTAAGGCTACAGTTAGATTCTCTACATTTTCTTTAGAGGTCCAGCCAGTTTTACGTCATTGTCGATTATGCCAGTTCTCACTTTGATATTTATTTTATCTTCATTTTCTGTATGTCACATTGCCATTTCTTGTTGTATTCTGATTGGCTTTCACAGATATTTGGAACATTTACCTGTTCGTTTATGTTTTGGTTTGGTTTTTGATGTAGTTTGAATATCCGTAGGCTCTAAATTTCGTTTGTTCTGCTTCTCGTCATTCGGTGGACCTCTCCGCCATTGTGCCAAACAACCAATTTGAAAGTTAGTTTCGCCGTGCTCTATGTGTTGCTTCTGAGTCTGAAATGTCAAAGAGCATCTTCTGTTACCTGTGAGTGAAGAGGCGGTTTCCACCAGTGAGTGCATCAACTTGTGATCACGGACAAACGCCGGAAGTCTATCGTTCTCATCTCCTCCTGCCCCTCTGTGACGTAATTAACCGACGGAAGAGTCATGAATTACTAAACACGTGCACATTGACCAATCCCCGCTCTCTGACCAATAAACAGAACCGCGCAGCCCCAAATTCTTCTCATTTATATCTGAGTTTGGTTTGCTGTTTGTCTAACAACGCCTTTTCAACTGATAAAGATGAAGATTTCTGTCTTCTGGGTTGTTGCGGTGAATCGCCCTGATGACGGAGGCAGTATGACCTCCGAAACGTTGGTAAACATCGACCAGACTACACAGCGCAACAACCCAGAAGACAGAAATCTTCATACTCATCGCCCTGATGATGGAGGCAGTATGACCTCTGAAACGTTGGTTAACATCGACCAGACTACACAGCGCAACAATCCAGAAGACAGAAATCTTCATACTTATCGCCCTGATGATGGAGGCAGTATGACCTCCGAAACGTTGGTTAACATCTACCAGACTACACAGCGCAACAACCCAGAAGACAGAAATCTTCATACTCATCGCCCTGATGACGGAGGCAGTATGACCTCTGAAACGTTGGTTAACATCGACCAGACTACGCAGCGCAACAACCCAGAAGACAGAAATCTTCATACTCACCGCTGTGAAAACCTCAAATCTTACAAGACAAAGATGTATTTGAAAATATGATTTGGGTTGAATTGCCTCAGGATCCATTGGCCAGGTTTTGTGTTGATGACGATGAAATTTCGAGTTGTGTCAGTTGAACAAGTGAATTTCATCATACCCTTAGCAGCCAGCATGATGGTACAATCTCGGGTTACCTCTGACGGCATTGGACATAAAGACATCTGGTAAGATTTTAGGTTCTCACGGCGGCCAGTATAAATATTACACCCTATTGATTAGCCCAGATGATGGAGGCAGTAAGCACCTCTGAATTTACGGGATTACACGGCGCAATATCCCAGAAGGCTATCTTATTTATAATAATATTAAAATGTTTTTGGACGGTGGTTTGTGACGCTGTGGGATCTTGTATGTGGTTACCAAAATTTGAACCCTCAAACCAGAATATGATTGTGATACTTACCTTTGAAACCTTGGTAACCACGTAAAAACTCTTATAACGTCATAACGCGGAGCATGGAAATATTTACATTTGTAGCAGTGAGAATCTGAAAATCTATTTGTTCACATTTTATTTATTTTTATTTAGTGTTCTGTCTGATGACAGGTCCATATGAACAGGATCCTTCCATCCTTTTCTCGGACTGGGACCTGTTCATATACGTTCTTGGCAGATGATCCAGAAGTGGTTTGCCATTGCCTTCTTCTGTGTGTGAATGGGATGCCACGGAGAAACCGGGGAAGCCCCCGGAGGAAAACTCCGTGTTGCCTAGACCACGGCCTTGCCCAACACAAGTTACAAATTCGGGCACCGGGTAATTATACACGACTTTATATGTAGGAGCTAAACTGTCATTAATTAAATGTTTTCTGTTGCAGAAAGAGTGAACGAAATTGACGGTCTGGAATCCGTAGCTTGCCAACCTTGGACGTCAAGACTACCGAAAATGGCACAGCCGGACCTCGATTATATAGGTAAGAGAGATATCGATTATGTAGCTAACTATTGCGTAGAGCAGACTTCTTAATGTGAAACAAAGAGTTTCACGACTTGTCAAGAATTACAATGTTGTTAAGTAGATTTGTAAACGTGTTCAAGTGTTAAAGTATTTGTTTTTATAGATACTTTACGTATAACCCCTGCCGAGACAAAAGTTGTGTTTTTGTGGAATCTGAAAGGAAGATAGACAATAAAACACAAGACCAGATTTCCCCAAGTCTTATCATACTTGTTGTAATATACCATTTACTCACAGATGTCTCATTTTCAGAAAGACGTTTTGCTTTGTCGTAGTCAGTTCTTGCAAAAGTTTCCCTCAGTAGTTTCTACATTAATATGGGTCAGATAAGAAACAGAACTTCCCAATCTCAGCTGTTGCGATAAGTTCATCTTACAGATCGATGCCGGTCCTTTAAATTGGGTGTTCACTTCGTGAAAGTTTATTAAAACGTAGCATTTAGTTACAGAAGTTAACGTGAAGTGACAAGACTCAGTGTTTCGTGTAGTATTATTTCCGCTGAAAAGGACATGAATTCATTTCCTCGTGCCGAAAGATAGTGACTGGATTTTAGGTCCTGAATAGAGATTTTTTTTTAAAGACGACTTCTGTGTGCTACATTATTACTTTTTTCCTTTGAATTTAGCAAACGCATTTGATTTGTTACAGTGAATATTTTATTGTTTTCCGGAATTAGATTAATAAGTTCAGGAGCTATGCATATAGAGTGGGCTTATATAACAAAAAATACCATCGTCACGCTTATTAATGGGGAAAACTAATTATGAGTAAAACTATAAATAACACAATTTGCGTTGGTATCGAATTGTTAAAGCTTAAATTATAAGCTCCTGATAAGCAACTCAGGATTATTTGTTGATATAATTTCCCTGCTGTCTACCATATACATCAGTACATCCGTCTATCCACACTTCCAGCTAATGTATATCTTAAATAATTTGTTCTCTGTACTGTATATGCCGGGATGTTCTTCGTTCGAAACAACTTGGAACGTACAAGATTTCATGATTGGATTTCTTGACATTGGTAACAAAGTTCTTCGCGGTACATTGCAGTCTGTTTAACGTTTTCTCAAAGTATAATCGTCCTACAACAACATGGCGTGTACTGAAATACGCATAAGTGTGAGAATACAAAAAAAAAATTGTTCATTTATTAATATGAAAGTGTCTAAGCCTGCCTAAAGGAATTTGTTAAGAGATACGTAGCAGGGGAGTCGCCGAAAACATGTATAAGATTAGTTAGCCTTAAGTCGGATAATCTAAGATACGTAGCAGGGGAGTCGCCGAAAATATGTATAAGATTAGTTGGCCTTAAGTCGGATAATCTCGGGTTTCTGACCACGGAGACCGGTGTTTAATCCCGGGTGACATCATATGAGATTTGTAGTAGGGAGGGAAGATGTTTCTCCAATTCTCGATTTTCCCCTGCTAATCATCAGTCTATCATCGCCATATAAGGCCTGGGATAGCTTTGACCAATCAGCACACAGCCGCCATATAGACATACTTCCGCCTACGTTTGTGACAGTCACTTCTTGTATAAAGTTGTTAGAACACACGCTGCCATTATAATGGTAGGAGCTGCAGGCGGTTTCATTGGTTTTATGCATGTCCATTCTGTGTGTACAGTGAGTTATGTCCACAGACCTCTTGTTTGTTTGTGTCCTCAGGTTTCGTTACAGTTGCACGGGGTAGCTACAAACACAGCGACCCCTCGGGCCTTCTCAGAACTCTATTGCACTGTGTGCTACCCCCGTACAGCTTGTTAAAAAAACAGCCTTTGTTTCGATCAAGTTTCCACAACAGACACTGAATTATTTATAAACGTACGAGGTTTTCTGTACTGTGGTGCTTTTATACGAAGGTTGTTGGTTTGCTATTAATCAGTTACTTTTTGGATTTTTTTTTATATAACGGCGATGATGATGATAAAGTTTTTCTGGATTTTAGCGCCGTGTAGACTCTGTAGCAGATGCCAACATTTCAGAGAATCATGTTCCCATCCTGAAGATGAAGACAGTAGCACAGATGTCACCTCTAAATCAGAATAAGAAGACGTTTGTGTTTTTCTATACGAATATCCGAATCTTTCATTTGTGAACAAGATTTTTCACTCAAGGAGCTAAACAGATGTATAAAACGAAAAACAAGATTTTTCACTCAAGGAGCTAAATAGATGTATTAAACGAAGCCGGTTAACAATCAAATAGCGTCAGACCTGAAGTGAAACGATAGATATCAGCAGTGAATGCTCAACGGTTACATTAATATCCCTCAATAATCTCAAAGACCTGCAATCTATGTTCCTCCCTCAGAGTGAGAGACCATGTTTCACACCCATACAGAACAATAGGCATAATTATTGTTTTTGTATATTTTAATGTTCAGATTCTTAGAAATCAGACAGGAAGACGAAATATTTTGAAATGAGAAGTAGCAAGCATTTCCGGAATTTAGTCTCCTCCTAACTTCCTCATGAGTATCATTTTTATTTGTTATTGTTGTTCCCAAGTATTTGAATTGTGTCAGAATTTCAAAGGATTTTTTAGCCACCCTAAGATCGCCTGTCTGCTGACGACGAGATACAAACATGTACTTAGTTTCTTTTTTATTCTCTTTATTGTATTTATATCGTCACCAAATAAATTAACATCATCTGAAAATCTTTGATTAAAATATACAAAACTGCAGCTTGTGAACACGGTAATGCACCTTTGGGTTCCATAGAACTCGGAGAATTTATTGGCTAGTTGAGCAAGTTGATATCCACATTTTCGTCATCTTTTTCTGTCTAAAATTTGAAACCTATTCGAAATTTCGACTCGATAGGTCGCGCGAGAAGGACTGATGGACCAGTCCGATGCACGCGCTAGAGGAGTGTCAGCTCCAGTTAGTTTGTTGCTCTAGCCGTGTTTACTGTTCGCGACTGTAATCTTGAGACTTGCAAGGAATGCAGGAAGTCCGAAGCGTTAAAGGCAGACGCAATCTTTCCTCCTTCACCCCACTTCCTCATCTCGTAAGTCTCAAGATTACAGTGGCAAACAGTAGATCGGTGCGTCAACGCAGCTGAAGCTGTGCGACCCCCGCGACTACTGACACTCCCCTCTCTCGGCTTATACATCGCGCATTAAGTGCCACCACTACTCGCGCGACCTCTACCGCTCCCTCAATTTTTTTTTTCAAATCAAATCTTTTTGTGTCGAAATTTTGCTTAGTTGGTCTACTTACTGAAAGCCCCTCCCTCACTTTTGCCACTACCAGTGTCACAATCTGCTCCTTTTAATGACCTCACATCAATTATACTTGTCAGCCTCCTATCATCTACTAAAACATGATCTGTCTGATTGTGTGTGCTCCGTGTCCAAGTGTATTTATAAATATCGCGATGGAAATTTTGCAGTCTTTACAATTAAATCTTTTAACGTATGTCGCACCGACGCCCTTCCAGAATTATGTATTACAACATACTCATAATTAACAACAAACCCTATTCTGTTTTTATCTTGTATATTTTGCGCGTGAGTAGAATTTGTTGGTGAGAGATCGTCTTACATAATTCTGGAAGCCATCAAGTTTTTTGGTTAGTTATGGCTTGCGCATTGTAGCTATTCATAAAAAGTTGTCTACCTCTAGATCTGGTCTACAGGCTGATCGCTGCAGTGATGTTCGATCAAATATGTTCTAGGACTAATTTCTTGAATCCTTTCGGCAGTTTGGCAGTCTGAATTTCCCGGTGTAGGACGAAAGGTGGAATTAACTACGCCAAATGACAAATCACTGTCGTGATTTTCGATCCAGCATGTTCGTGGGTCAGTTCTTTCAGTCCTGGTAGGTTGGCTGCCTGGTCGCTCTTGCTTAATATAATACATTGGTTGGAATAGACACTCTGACCTATACTTGCTACTGGATTCGACTCCCGGCGGATCACATTCGTGAGTGTCGATCAAGTGTGTTCTGGAATCAGCTTCTGGAATTCTTTCCACAGGCTGACAAACTGGTCGTCTCTCCGTAGAAGGATTCATGGCACGGACTCCGCCTACTGGTCGTTCACTGTCGTAATTGTCGGTCAAGTGTGTTCTTGGGTCAGCTTCTGGAATTCTTCGGGTAGGTTGCGAAACTGATCTCTCCAGCGAAGGACGATTCGTGAATGAACAATGGCTGTCATTATTTTCATCCAGACACTTTTGTGGGTCAGCTCTTGAAGTCTTTCGGGTAGATTGTCTATCTGGTCTTCTCTGTATGAAGAATAACAGTTTTAGAAGGTGTTGAATATTTTGATTGAATTCGTACTAATTAACAAAATGTTTTGTTTTATGAACAATTTTTTATGAAATCAAGAGATTGCCAGGAATTTCGGGTAACACTGTGTATTGGAGGTTTTTGATACGCTGAGGCTAGCTGGAATTCTTCGGTCACGAAATTCGCAGTCGGAATCTGCGATCAGTTCCTCACTTCACGCGTTTAGAAATGACAGAAGACATTCGCACGGACAGATACTTATATGAGAAGTACGTGAGATTTCAAACGCGTTGACGGAAATTTTCGGTGGGGGTGCTTTGTTTCACCTCACCCCCTCCTAGAATGCTTGGCGTCTTTGAAGTTTTCGAAATGTGCTCTCACATCGCACTTTAAAAAAATTCATGGCCAACCAGTAGGAGAATGATTGCTCTAGCTTGAAACAGTTCCTGTCTGGTTGGCCAATTAGAACCTGTGAATTTAAACTTAAATGGTATGCGTCATAATGTACTGTATGACATTTTAATTTAGTTTGGAATACCAAAGAAACGTGTTAGGTTAATTAAGATGTGTATGTATGGGGTGTCACGCTCCGTAGCCGCGTAGCGTAATCCGGTCAGGAAAACTAGCAATGGCTGGGGGTTCGTCGTGCTGACCACACGTCATCCTATATCTGGTCGGATGATCGTTCCCCTCTGCTTAGGCATCTGAACGTGAGGCCAGCAGCCAGCTAGTCGGCTTTGGCTCTCAGAGGGCTGTTACGCCACGGATTATTATTATAGATGGGGTATCTAGTAGAGTCCGTATAGGTAATCTTCTGTCGTATGCGTTCCCAGCGAACATTGGCTTAAAACAGGGGATGTTTTATCCCCCAGCGAATTTTAATTTTGCTCTAGAATGTCATCAGGTCAGGGGGAATCAGGAAGGAATCGAATTGAACGGTCTGCATCAGGTATTTGCCTACGCTGATGATGTCAATTTGCTGGGGGATGTTGTGGGTACCATAACCAAGAATGCAGAAACTCTCCTACAGGCTACCAAGAAGATAGGCCTAGAAGTAAACGTAGACAAAACTAACTGCGGAACATAATTATAAGTAACATCAATTGAAAATGTTTCAAAATGTAAGTATCTGAGAACAACAATAACAAATATAAAAGAGGTTCGTGGTGATATAAAGAGTAGAATACACTCGGGGAACGCTTGTTTTTATTCAATTAAAAAACTGTTATTATATCATTTACTATCCAAAACACCGAAGATCAGGATATGTAAAACATAAATTGAGCCTGTTGTTCTGTATGGTTGTGAAACATGGTCTCTTCCCTTGAAAGCTTTTAATTACAGCGGGTGATGCTTTTATCTCTAGGGGACTGATTTAAGAGTGAGTGCACCTCCCATGTTAACAGATTGGATTGCTAAAAATGGAAAGGCATAAGCAAACAATTAATCAGCTTCCTGACAGAAGATGACATACATGAAATGAATACATACCAATATCCTGCTTAGAGCCATCACACGTGGCCAAATGTACCGCCAGAATGTAGCCAGAAATAGACATTTAGCGGTTTGGATGGTCCGATTAATTCTGGATGTGATCTAGAAATAACCAATTACATTACTGTATGTAAATCAAGGAGAGTAACCAATTATTATATATTATTTGTCCGTCTTTGCACAACAAAGTTCACATATGCAACTGGACTCTACGTGTAATTCTGCATGTGAACAAAGACTGAAAAATAATACATAATTGTTTGCTATATTTCACAACGTGACACTGTAATATAAATTTGTACGGAGCTGGATGAGATACGTAGCTTGCAGCTTCTGGGACGTTTTTCGGGACCCATTTAGACATGTGTTCCGTATATTGTAGTGTAGACTTAAATTCCTATTTCGAACTCATCTATAACAGAGTATGAAGTATATGAAGAAAGTTTAAATAATATGACAGGCATGTAAAGAATCCTGTTTCACTAAAATTCATACTTTAAATATCCTTTTCTGAAGGTAAAGAATTCGTGTATATGCTGTTAATGAATCTTGAGAAATGATACAATAAAAATCAGAAATTTTTAAAAAGGATTGTAATGCAACAAGGATTACTGAATCTTATTAAGAATAAGATTGCAGTGGAAGACAAAATTTCGTTTACCTTGGCAAACCACGTTCTTTCGCTAACCGCGATCAGTCCCCCATATATTACATATGCACGCCGTGTTGACATGACATTTGGAAACGTCGAACTCCGGATCATTTTTAACAGGAAAATGGAACTGACTTTCACTGATGTTGCTTGGAATATGGATTACAATCCATGTCAACACGTAACTATGGAAATGATGACACAACAAACTTTGCTTTGCATTGTTATCGTATGCTACCAACCTTTCCACTAAACAACCATTGAACAAAATAAAATCCGATTATTTGGATATACAGAAATGCACACGAAATTTCAAAGAGGGTACGAAGTTTTAAAGTTCCATGCTTGTCCTATTTCATCACATAAACAACACACAGAACTCTCTTGTATGCGTTTGTCGTCTGAGTGTGACAGAGTTTTAGTAGAGAATATACAACTTGTGGTGAAATCGGTCAATGATGTATTTGATAAATGCTGAGTTTAGAATTCACTTCTTCATGTTTCGTGCCATGATATATGAATACTACGACATCTTCTGTCAAACAAATGTTCATATTCTACGTTTCGAATTCAAGTGATTCAACCCACTACCGCACATTGTTGCTTCAAGTCAATACTATTTTGACGTGTCTGGCGGAAGACATCTAGAAATATTACTGTGTTGGGTCGAGGTTTAGGTAAGAGACGTTCCAATTTGTAAATCGATCATTCGATGCAGAACGTGAAATGATATTTTAAATATTTTATTATCTTATTAAAATTGTGATTTGACGGAAAATATTAAAATATTAAAGAAGATTCAGAAAAACTGAAAGCACAGACTAATATCAGAAAGTGGGGATGAAGATCTGCCCAGTACTCAATCTCCTACATCTTGGACAGGCCAGTATTATGTTCACACCCACCATTATTAGATAATTTTAAAGGAAACGAGCTTCTAATGCTGATTGTAAATGAAGTTAATAAACATGATAAATGGAATAATCCAAATAAACCATTGGGTCTCACAGTTCCAGAACTTGAGCAGTGGCTGAGAATTATTCTTTGCATGCCAATTGTGAAATTACCAGCTACGAGACTGAATTAGAGCAAGTTATTCAGAATTCCTTTGATAGCAGACTGCGTGTTATGGAACAGATTTGAGGCAATAAAATGTAATTGATCTTCTATGACAGCTTAGCACCACGGAGAGATTCTACTGGCGATTGCTTATGTAAAATCTTTAGAACATTTGGCCTAAGTGCGAAAAGTATAAGTGTCGATGAGCAGATTTTATATATTTGGAAGGCCGTAGTAGTCTGAAGATGAACGACTGAAGTGAAATTTAAAAAATGATGTAAGATCTTAACAATTTGTGTAGTTCTGAACTGAAAACTGGCATAAGGTACACCCACCTGAATTTCCAAATGTTGATTGCAAGTGAGATCCATTCTGATCAGAACTGCAGGTTAGGTTATGACAACGGATTGTGCAGTTTACAGTAACAAGTCACCATATTTGAAGTCTTTGAACAGTCAGGAAGAAGATATTGAGAGACCGTAACCCTGAATTAGATGCTGCACTAAAGAGATGCAGAAGAGGTGCTTTTAATGACAGAAGGTGACCTACGCAAGTACCAAGTGGTATGATAATCACTTTGTCAAGATTTTGGGCAGCTTCGTTAGAGCAGATCCAGTTCAGAAATGGAAATAATGTGACAAAAGAAAGACAGATATAGAAATGCTGTTAGTTGTAATAAATTTATGAGTGAAATCACCCTAATTGGTTCTGTAATGGCATTATACCACATCTTAATACACTCCAAGAAATGGTACCACAGATGCCTCT